TAACTTTGTCAATTTTAATTTTTTTTTTTTTAATAATTTTTTTATGTAATAATAAAACATCAATAAACAAATGACAAAAAAATTGATATTAAAATATTTTTTGTTTCCTTTGTACAGTGCTTCAAAAACCGGGCGAAATTCATGCCTCTACAGTAGAATACTCCCTTAATGAATATAATATGTTTTATGTATTATTGATATATATATAATTTTTCAAATTTTGTACATTTCTCATATATTTTAAATGCGTTAATAATTAAAGAACTCAAAGATTAATTGCTAAATATTTATTTTTAATCTTTTGTTTTTAATTTTAGTATAAAAATTATAATAAAAGTTAACTATTTTCTCCATTTTATTGATTTTCGTTACGTCTTTAGTGAAAATATCTCATTTCCTGATTATTATATGCTTTAATGAGTAATTTAGTAATTATTAAAATAAATGTATTATATTAATAATTACTAAATTAAATATTAATAATTACTAAATTAAATATTAATAATTACTAAATTAAATATCATTAAAATAAATGTTATATATTTAAATTAATGTTATCAAAATAGTTTTCTTTCTAAAAGGATTCTGAACAATTCTCTATTATTTATTCAGGGATTAATTATTAAATACGTGAAGTTTATTCTAGTTGAGTAAGAAAAAAAAAGTTTCACAATTTAATTTTAAATATTATAATCAAGGCGCCGTTGTGACCTTGGCCTTCTTTAAAAGATCCAGCCAGGCTGTTCTCTTCTTGGCTGTGGACCTCCAGTTTTTGATCTTAATGACATTAAAATCAGTCTAAACAGTCAATAATCTGCCATCTCTTTTTCGGTCTTCCCCTTGGTCGTTGTCCAAAAGGGGTTGCATTGAAAACCTTCAAAGCGGCTCTATCACTTTCCATTCTCACGAGATGACCTACCCATCTCACTCTGTTCAGTTTAACAACTTTTAGAATGCCAATATCTCTAAAAAGTTCGAAATTGTATCTTCTTCGCCAATTTCCATTGTCATTGATACCAAACCAATACCATCACCAAAAATAGTTCGTAGCACTTTTCTTTCAAAGACTGCCAACATTTTCTCTTCTCTTGCTGTTAGTGACCCTGTTTCAGACGCATATGTTAACACTGGTCTTGTTGTTGTCGCGTCCCTCATGAAAGGAGGGAAGAGGGGTGCAGCTTCTGTTCTGATGGAGCACCCGTAGGTAGAAGTCTGACTTCTGCTCCGTGACGCTCTTACAGTCATAGGAGACCGGGACCTACGGCTTAAAGTGGAGTCCTAACTACTATAAACATCCATGGCACAGCCGGGACTCTAACCCGAAACCTGTGGCACCGAGCGCCAGACACTCGGCCATTCAGGCTCCTAATGCTGGTCTTATGTGAGTTTTATACAGTCAAATTTTAGTTCTTTTAATCAGGCGGGATCTTAATTGGCTTCTAAGACCAAAGAGGCAGCGATTGGCAGCAATAATTATCTTTCGGATCGAATATAGAGTCAATACACGAAAGTAAAACACCATTCTTCACCAAAGCGACGCTTTAGAGAGCAGGAGACATTTCTTTCAAGAAACGAGGCGTTTGTGCGCGGGGGGAGAAGAAGAGTTCTATTGCAGTGTAATGGTAATTGGTAATTGAGGCAGCGATTTCTGTCAGTCAGTCTTTCAGTCGTGTAAGAAGCCTGCATACAGCGATGATTTAATAGTATTCTCGAACAGGTTTTTCTCAATTATTACAGTATATGAACATGATGCTCCAAAAGTGATCCTCCTCTGATATAAGCTAGTGACTTCATGGCCAATTGGCTAGCGCTCTGGCCTTTTGTTCGAATCCTGGCGGTGGCATGGATGTTTGTTACATGTTCGGAATCCCCGTTAAACTGTAGGTCCCGGTGTAATTTACCTAAAGTTTGCACAAAATGACCGTAGAGTGACAGACCAAGAACGGAGTCGAAACACATGCTATAAGTACATGGAGCGTTTTGAAAACTGGTTCATAATTGGTTAGAAAATCTAACTCAATAGTTCTCGTGTGCATGTGGCTTAACGGTTTCTTTTATTAAGACACGCAAATGTGGAGCAATTACTTCTGAAAGCAGGAAATAATCTTATCTTCATCAATCATGGACTCTCCTATAATATATTATAAGAACTCAACCTTCTTGATTATTTTCAAGTAAACACCGAATGCGCCAGCTCACACTGCATTGATTCTTCGTGACTTTTTCGCCGAAAATGAAACCCATATTGTTGCACAACCACCGTATTCACACCGTACGACTCCTGCCTATTCCCTAAACTCCGAAGACCACTCCGAGGTCACCGTTTTCAGTCGATTGAAGAGATTCAACGTGAATCGGCTCGCGCTTTGAAAGGCATCCCTGGCGATGACTTTTTAGCATGCATTGATGATTGGAAAAAAAGTTGTCATAAGTGCATTGTGTCCGGAGCGGATTACTTTAAAGGCGATGAAATAAATTTGGAAGAATAAATTAAGAGGTTTGGAAAAAAAATAATTGGTCTCAGTTTTTGGACACAGTAGTACGTAATGAGTAGTTATGGATTCTATATATAGAGAGTTAATACACGAAAATAACACCATTCCTCACCGAAGCGACACTATAGAGCGGGAGACATTTCTTTCAAAAAACGAGGCGTTTGTGTTGAGGAGAGAGAGAGAAGAAGAATTCGTTGAGAAGCGGCCGATTAGCAGGTCCGCTTTCACTCCAAATGGCTGCGCTTCTGAGCGTGAAAGGGCGAAGTGACACGCGTCAGGGCCTTTGTATGAAAGGAGCCCCCCTTCATGAAAAAATATGAACCCCCCTTCCCTTTCAATCTTATCTGGAGGCGTTTTGTCCCCCGAAGATTCTGCTCGCTGAATAATTCCTCTCCTTTCTCTTGCTGTCGCGGACTTGAAAGGTCTTCCTTCTTTCAAAAACTGGTACCGGACCGACTTTCTTCTTTTCTGACCAGGACACAAAAAACTGGCTGGATGTGTACCGGTTACTATTAGGTTTTATTGGAGTGTAATGGTAATTGGTAACTGAGGCAGCCATTTCTGTTAGACGGTCATGTAAGGAGTTGTATAGTGATGGTTTAGTAGTTCCTGCAGATTTCATTTTATATTTATCGTTGCATGTAGTCATAAATAGAAAATAAATTTATTTTAATTCCTTTTCGATCCCTGATGTCCATTATAAGGAACATTTCTAATTTTTTTTAAATTAAAATGTTCTCGAACAGGTTTTTTTTTTCTCAGTTATCATCATATATGAACGAGTTGTTGTTGTTCTGGTATAAGTTTTAGTATGTACACACACAAACACATACAGAAAAAAATGCGAGAGAAAGATAAGTAAGAATATTAGCTATTAGAGAGTTTTTGCATACCTTACGTTAGTTACCGTAGGACGTCCGTTAGCTTTTTCTCCCTAGCGCGCATGCTCATAGGAAACTGAGCATGCGCGCTAGGGAGAAAATGCTAACGGACGTCCTACGGTAACTAACGTACGGTATGCAAAAACTCTCTATTATTTAATTTATTTATTACTTTAATTTATTGGTTAACGATGCCTGATGGCCGAGTGGCCATCGCTCAGGCACAAGGTACCGCAGGTTTTGGATTCGAGTCTCGGGGGTGCAATGGATGTTTGTAGTGGTTCGGAATCTACTTTAAACCGTAGGTCCCTGTCTAATAGAATCTCAGAGCGTTGTGGGGTTTGCGTTACTCGCGTCCGTATCCTATCTTCAAGCTACACGAGCCCCCTGGGTAGTGCTAAATTAGTAAAAACGATGCAGCCCTTGCTTATGGCATAAAGAATGACTGTCTCTATATTGCCAGCTGCATTAGGACAACAAGATATATTGGCTAAATTATGATAGCTTATATATTTAATAATAATAATATTTCGTCTATTTTTAAGCCCTAATAATATATGGCTTAAATATAGCTTATATATTATTATGGTGATTGTTACCAGAGTTTTCATGTTTCTGTCCCGGCGGTGCCATGGATGCTTGTAGTGGTTCGGAATCCACTTTAAACTATAGGTTCCGGTCTAATGGGACTACTACTGCTGCAATACACCACATCACTGTGCCTAGAGCTATACAGTTTGGGAATGATGTGGATGAGAAATCTGACTGGGCACTGTGACGCTCTGCAGTCATATGAGACCGAGACCTACAGTTTAAAGTGGATTTCGAACCACTACAAGCATCCACGACACCACAGGGACTCGAACCCGAAACCTGTTGCCTCGAGCGCCATAGCGCTAGACACTCGGCCATTCAATTCCCAAGGTCTAATATGGCTGTAAAGCATTGGGCACAGGGCTGACAATCCGACCCCCTCAAAAGAAAAGCTTCTCACGTTTCGGAAGCTTTCAGTAGGCAGACGGCCTTGGTCCACCATGGGACTGTTGCGCTAATGAAGAAGAATATTGATTAATTTAATTACTTCACGCATCATGAGAAATTTTCATTACAAATTTTTTTTCTTTAAAATAAACACTCATTTCTCACATGTTTTTATTCATGTATGTTTTTAAAATTTACCGTATATGTATTGCTTATAATAAATCATGTGCTTTGTATTGCAATTTGAATTGTTCAGGGTTTTCAAATTAGTATTAATCGATTATAGTTTGTATTTTTTCAAAATAGTATCTGAATCAAAGTTAAGTTTATGAAAGTAAATTTATCTTTCATTTGATATATGTTGTTGTTGTTGTTGTTCCTTATCCCACTTGGCTGGCCAAGCCCACGAGCCCATACGTACTCATGATTGAAGGGGAAGGAAGCAGCTTCTGTTGTGATGGAGCACCCGTAGGTAGAAGCCTGACTTTGGCTCCGTGACGCTCTTACAGTCATAGGAGACCGGGACCTACAGCTTAAAGTGGATTCCGAACCACTACAAACATCCATGGCCGGGATTCGAACCCGAAACCTGTGGCACCGAGCGCTAGACACTCGGCCATTTAGGTCCCAAATTTGTGAAGGCCAACGGCACGCGGTGTTCCCAGGTGGTCACCCACCCATGTACTGACCGCGCCCAATGATGCTTCAAATGCCAATGATGCTAACGAGAACCGGTATATTCACCATGGTATGGCCGTTGGCATTTGATATATATCCAAACTAAATTAATAAAATAAGGAGAAATATAGGCAAACACATGATATACTGGAAATCGTAAATAATTTTAGTACTTTTTTTGACCTGGAAGTCTTTTATGTCCTGTTTTCACAGGTAAATTTGTCACGATTTTTTATTCTGCCTTATATAAGTATCGATTAAGATTCGATTCTAATTCGAGGAATAAAAAAACGACACTTTTTAATGTTTCCAACCTCTAGAAATCAAATCCCTTTTAATGGAAGAGAAAAGGATTTGGTCCCTTTCTCTTTTCAAAATCTCTTTAGGGAAACCTAAGCTGAACCGACGTCATTGTCCGAGATTAGCAGTTGACACTTGAATATAACATCCCTTATTAACTTTCAAAGAACCATTTTGTTGAACAATGTCCAAAAAAAACGCATAAAGATATAAAACATTTAATTTTTTTCTGATAATATTTGAGCATTTTGATTTTTATCCTAGATCCCTCATCTTATGATGCAGTTAGGCCAGGGGTCGGCAACCTTTTGAGTCAGAAGAGTCAAAAATTACAATTTACAAAATTTCAAAGTTTTTAAAGAGACACAAAATTTTTTCTTGCCAACAATAAATACACTGAAGTGACAAAAGTCATGGGATACCTCTTAATATCGTGTCGGCCCTCCTTTCGCCCGGCGAAGTGCAGCAACTCGACGTGGCATGGACTCAACAAGTCGTTGGAAGTCTTCTGCAGGAATATTGAGCCATGCTGTCTCGATAGACGTCCATAATTGTGAAAGCGTTGATGGTGCAGGATTTTGGGCACGAACAGACCTCTCGATGATGTCCCATAAATGCTCGATGGGATTCATGTCGGGCGATCTAGGTGGCCAGATCATTCGTTGGAATTGTCCAGAATGTTCTTCAAACCAATCGCGAACAGTTGTGGCCCGGTGACATGGCGCATTGTCATCCATAAAAATCCCATCGTTGTTTGGGTACATGAAGTCCATGAATGGCTGCAAGTGATCTCCAAGTAGCTGAACATAAGCATTTCCAGTCAATGTTCGGTCCAGTCGCACCAGAGGATCAAGTCCATGCCATGAAAAAACAGCCCGCACCATTACGGAGCCACCACCAGCTTGGACAGTGCCTTGCTGACAGTTTAGTCCATGGCTTCGTGGGGTCTGCGCCACACTCGAACCCTACCATCAGCTCTTACCAACTGAAGTCGTGACTCATCGTGGTTGCGATATTAAAAGACGAACAAAAAATCCAACAGCCACTGACAATCCATAAAGAAGCCATTGTTTCCGAATCGACCAGTTCGATAACCACAGACAATACATGAAAAAACAATTGGTTGCGCTATTAAAAGACGAACAAAAAATTCATTAATCATAATAATACTTTCACAAGTGAATGTGATATGATTTTTTTAGCATACCTGGTATAAGCAACTATGTGTGTAATTAAGAATCGATCGTAATTCGATGAATATAAAAATTACACTTTATAATGTTTCCAGACTCAAAGAATCAAACTTCGAGAAATCCCGAACGGCCTGAGGAGGACTTTGATAACACAAGCTCCAGGTTTGAATCCTGGCGGTAGCATAGACGTTTGTTTGATTCGGAATCCACAACTGTAGGTCCCTGTCTGTTTAGCCCTCGTGTGCACAAGATGACCGTAGAGCGACACACCAAACCTCAAGACATCCCTTTTAGAGAAAATTGAACTAAATTCACGTCGTTGTTCCGACTTGACAGTTGACACTTGAACATAACATCCCTTATACACATTTCAAATACTCAATATACTTCTTCTTCATTGGCGTAGCAGTCCCAAGGTGGACCAAGGTCGTCTGCTAACTGGCATATTCCTAAACGGGAGAGATTTTCTTTCACGGGGTAAGGTTGTCAGTCCTACTCTCTATAGTCATATTAGACTGAGATCTAAAGTTTAAAGTGGACGGCAGCCTGGTGACCGAGTGACTAGCACTCTCGGAGCTCGGTACCACAGGCTTCGGATTCGAGCCCCGGTGGTGCCATGGATGTTTGTAGAGGTTCGAAATCCACTTTAAGCTATAGGTTCCGATCTCATATGATCATATAGCGTTGTTCAGAGCCCAGTCAGTTTTTTCACCCACATCATTCCCAAACTGTAAAGGGGCAACTCAGCTGTAGGCAAAGTGATGTGATGTAGTGTAGTAGTAGTAGTTTAAAGTGGATTCCGAACGCTATAAATTTCCATGGCACCTCCGGGACATGGCACCTCCCAGACCAATATATTATTGAGCAATATTCAAGGAAACGAATGAAGATGTTAATTTTTTCACCTTTTTTTTCTGATAATGTTAGAACACTTTGATTTTATCAATGATCATTCATGTTGTGATGCAATTTACTGTTTAATATTTTAGTTAATTTTGACGGCTCTGTCATTTTTTTAGGATTTGACTATTACAAGAATCGTTACAAATCCTCCACCGCATAATCACTCGTTTTAAATCGAGGGTTCTTATCCTTTTTGTTACATTATAATCTTCTACAAATAAGAAGATTCTTATCCTCCTTTTGTCAATACGGTCAATATCAGAGTATTATTTAAAAAAAAAACGTAGAATAAAAGCAAATTAATGTTACATTAAAAATAATATAAAAGTATATAATCCCATATATATACTATCCGCTGCCGCATTTTAATTTGTCATGTGTGAACTTATTCTCTTGGAAAAAGATCCACCGAATTTAATGCACACGGAAATACACCATCATTCATTTACACAGTATGATGTAGAAGCAATTATTGTTGTTGTCGTCGTCGTATCCCTCATGGAAGAGGGATGCAGCTTCTGTTGTGATGGAGCACCCGCAGGTAGAAGTCTGACTTCTGCTCCGTGACGCTCTTACAGTCATAGGAGACCGAGACCTACGGCTTAACGTGGATTCCGAACCACTACAAACATCCATAGCACCGCCGGGACTCGCACCCGAAACCTGTGGTACCAAGAGCCAGAGCGCTAGCCACTCGGCCATTCAGGCTCCTGTAGAAGCAATTGGTTATGATATTAAAAGACTAACAACAAATGCAATAATCATGGAATTTTAAATATTCAAAATTGTATCATGACACTTTAAATTTTTTAATTAACGCCAGCAAACGTGTGATTAGCTAGAATCAAATTGTTTCCCCCTCATGTGATAGAGCAGCGAATAGAGAATTCAATCCGCGATTGGACATATTCAAATCCTTTTACCATCTTTGACACTTTCTAAAAAGTCTATAGAATATCAAGCAAGAATAACTTCACAACCAAATTTGCTCCACCTTTAGAAACAATTATTTATTAACTAAATAACCATAAAGCGGAGATATTGATTTAGAATATGAGTCGACCATTAATTAAATTCGATAGAGATAGGATTCTAGGGCCATATCCAAAGTCGGCGTGATACAAGAAACTATGAGGGGATTACTTTAAAAGCAGACGGTAAACTCCGATCTATTCAATCACTTCAGAGAAAAAAAGAGAAATACAATACTTCTGGTCGACTCTTCGCAGAACTCTCTCTTCTTCACCAAAACTCTTTATTTAAGAAAATCCGTCAATAAGGGAGTCAGCTACTCTCACTTCTCATTGGAGTAGACATTTCTCAGCTCATCGTCTATCCCCCATCACGATGGAACAACTCATGGCATATTCCATATTCCATCTATAGTTGTTTCGACCTGTGAAGATCGCATAGATATTTTCTGATTTTCTGAGTCTCATTATACATGTTTGTTGTTGTTTCTTATACCACTTGGCTGGCCAAGCCCACGAGCCCATACGTACTCATGATTGAAGGGGAAGGAAGCAGCTTCTGTTGTGATGGAGCACCCGTAGGTAGAAGTCTAACTTTGGCTCCGTGACGCTCTTACAGTCATAGGAGACCGAGACCTACGGCTTAAAGTGGATTCCGAACCACTACAAACATCCATGGCACCGCCGGGATTTGAACTCGAAACCTCTGGCACCGAGCGCCAGACACTCGGCCATTCAGGTCCCAAATTTGTGAATGCCAACGGCACGCGGTGTTTCCCAGGTGGTCACCCACCCAAGTACTGACCGCGTCCAATGATGCTTGACTTCGGTGATCTAACGAGAACTGGTATATTCAGCATGGTATGGCCGTTGGCCCTCATTATACATGATACCAAATATCTGCTATCAGATTTGATTGGCAGGTTCTTCTCATTAGTGCAAATCACTAATTGCATGCAATAAAACTCGTCTGCTGGGGTGGTCTGATGGGTTTATTATGTATTTGTCAAATAGCATACATTCCTCTCTCCTGGGAATGAAACACCAAAACTCTTCTGGTAGGAAAAATGCTTTTCCATGTATGCGATACTAAACTATTTTGTCACCCTCGAAATAAAATAGGTTGCATCTATTGGGTTGCTGCTTACAAAAAATTAATAAAAAACCAATCAAGAATAATTTTACAATTAAATTTTTTCCATCTTTAGTAAAAGTTATTATTAAGTAAACAACCATAAAACGGAGATATTGATTTGGAATACGAATCGAACATTAATTAAATTCGAAAGAAAAAAAAAATAGAGAGAACTCCTCAAAAAAGGAAAAAAAAAAAGAACCCACACCTCAATTTATGACAATAAAAAAAGTTCCAAATAATCGACATCAACCGAAATTTGTATAGTTTTGATTCCCTTTTCTTCTTCATTCAAAATCACAATGCCAAAAAATGAATAAATAAATAAATGAAAAGGTGAAAACTTCCAGATATCGGTGGAGGATTCGAACAAACGGCAGAGAGCAATCCACCGCACGCATTGAATGGGCCGTGAGTCACATGTCTGAAAACGCGGCGTTGCCACCAGCACCTACTAAAAAGAGCCTCTGCCCAAAGTGGGGCGGTTCCTCAGCACACGTAATGATTTACGAAAAGCGAAAATTAAGGATATAAATTCGATACAAATATTCAAATAACTCCAAGTTCGGAGATTTTCAG